ACTCTTCCCCGTTTGTTACCTGGTGACTGCCACTTACTCTTCGCTTTCTCAGAGAAAGGCTCCCAATCAGAATTTAGAACTGTCTTCTTAGGAACAATGACTTTCTCCTCAGACTTCTCACAGTGATTATCACATTACAGTGCGTTCAAATATTTATAGTTGTTTATATATTTGTATTTAAATATTTATGTTTGTTTCCTTCTAGCTAGTGAGCTTTCCAAGCACAAGATCTGTATCTTACTAATCTTTCTATTCAAAGCATCACCACAGTGCCTTATAACAAAATGGACATTTAATAAATGCTGGGTAAATGACCAAAGGAATGAATGCTTCCAATCAATCCTATTAATACGTCATCACAGCTTAGAGTGAAACGACCATGAACTTTTTAAGTCTGGATTCAGTCAAGATTAGTCATTTATCTCTCAGAGCCTCAGTTTCATCGTGTATATTAACTCTTGCTTTTGTGATTAGGATTAAAGGAGAAGTATAAGTAACAGACTAAATTCCATGCTTGATTTAGAGAGGCTTTAAATCAATGTGCGCCCCCTCTAGTTCTCTATTGGTTACGAGAAGTCACACTGTAACATCGCTCTCTCTGACTGCTCATAGCATCTCACAGGGTAAACATAAAAAAACAGAACAAAACATCATTGGGACTATAACTTTGTGTTGCATACGTACGTCATTAAAAAGCTGTATCTTGGGTTCCACATCTATTACCTGGAGATAATCACATTTTTTACACAGGGTTGGATTGGAGCTTGTAAATATCAACTGAAATCAAAACTAAATGCAGTGGAGATCAGCGGTTGGCATAATAGCTGTCACTGGACTCCCATGAAGTAGGCCACGGTCTGAGTCTTGGACCTGGCAACTTAAAACTCACGCCAGGCACGTGTGCGTGCATGCCCAAGATCCCGAGAGGAGAATGGAGGAGAAGGGATTGTGGTGTGACCATGCCCCCCTGGGGAATGATTTCTTACTTTCTGTCTTTCTCTGTCTTTCTAGTGAGCACATGCGCCCTATACCAAAAAAACAAACAAAAAACAAACAAAAAACAAAAAAAACCTAAATGCAGTGGTTCAGCATCTGGAACACAGTAGGCACTCAGTAAGTGTTAGATTTCACCTCTTTTCACCACAGAATGGATCCAACTATAAACATCACTAAGCCGAGCATATAGTTCAAATAAAATACACTTGTATCTGAAAGTCCAACACACTTGATTACTACAATAGACATAGGGACAAAACCAACAGGAAACTGTCAGAAGATTACATACGTGCCAGTGTTAAGAACATGTGATTGTGACCAGCAGATGGCATAATGGTTGTGTCACTGGACTCCCACCTAGTCAACTGCAGTTCAAGTCCTGAACCCTGTGGCTTAAAACACACACTGGGCGCATGTGTGTGTGTGCCCAAGATCCAGATCCTGAGAGGAGGATGGAGGAGAAGGGATTGAGGCATGGCCATCCCTCGGGTGAGGCAAAGAGGGGGGTGTGATTTCTTGTTTTCTGTTAGTCTCTCTCTTTCTGGTGAGTGCACATGTCCTATAGCAAAAATCTCTCTTAAAAAAAAAAAAAAAGAACATTGGGATCAGCAGTTATGTCTCTGGACTCCCATGTAGTCAACCGTGGTCCGAGTCCCGGACCTGGTGGCTTAAACTCATGCCGGGCGCGTGCCCAAGATCACAAGAGAATGGAGGAGAAGGGATTGCGGCATGGCCATCCCCCTGGGGGATGATTTCTCGCTTTCTGCTTCTCTGTCTCTCTCTACCTGGCGTGCACACACACCCTATAGCAAAAACCTCTCAAAAAAAAAAAAAAAAAAAACAAAAACATGTGCTTGGCAGTCATGCAGCCTGAGTTACTCTTTTCAGCTGTGCCATCACAAGCAAGTGACAGAATCACTGTTACCTCCTCTTTTAGTGCTAACACGAGCCTTATGGGGTTTTTGTTAAAGGGATGTGTCCACACGACCTGGATTGCAGGCTGCACACGACTTCTGAAACAGCGCCGGAAATACAACACCCTCTCTACAAATGCTGTAGGAGTGGAAACTTGCTTTGCCAGGATATTTACACTGGAAACAAATACTTGTGAATATTTATGTTATGTTTTTAAATAAAATGTGAAAATGATTTATAAAGAGAACAAATCTTTATGTTAACAGATCTGATTTGAAATTTCATCTTTCTACTTAATGGTTTTTTTTTTGCAAATTACTTAATTTTGTGCTTTTTTTCTTCATTCATTCATTGGACAGTGTTGCATATTTCATAAAATGGCTGGGACATGTACGGAGATACTATACATAGTCTTGTGTGGCATTGTATGCCAGTCACCAGGCCCGATAAATATTAAGAATGTGCTAGCTGCATCACACTGCAGGATACAAGCATAATGCCTGCACACAGCTTCAACTAAAGACCAGCTGAGAGCCACAGTTCAAAGAACACTTAAGTGATGTAAGGCATGTAAAGAAATCATTTGGAATGAACAAAAATGAAAACATTTAGATTACTATCTACCTTAGTACCACAGTTAATAAATAAGAGGACCTACGGATTAAAAACTTGACTAGCACTGTGAGTTCAAATGTGATTTTAGGTTTCATCAAAAGATCCACATACCCACATTTATTGATGCTTCATAATGATTCTAAAGGCAATACTTTGTTTTGTGTTATGTCTATCATGGTTGAGCATTAAGAATTTTAAACATAAAGCCAAAGGTTTTAGGCATTTAGGAAAACATGTTGAACCAAATAAACACTGCACATGTCGGTGAGCATCAAGGTGTGTGATCAGAAGAGGTGACTACAAAGCTGTTTCATCTCTGCTGACACACACTTACTTCTGGGTAAATACTTCTTTAGAAAACGAGTAAGAACCAACTTGTTATTCATAAGTAGGAGTATGAAGTTATTGGAAAACAAGGGCAAGGGTAGGGAATGGAAATGTTTTATGAACAGGGAACAAAACTTTCCGTACTTTCTTCCCCAAGCAGTGGCAATGCAGGCTATTTACGCATTTCCAATGTGGTTTTGGCCTCAGAACTAAACAGACATAGATATCTGAGGCCATTGTTCCCCCCAGAATATACTGAATACTCAAGTTACACTTTCATAATGAGCAAAACATTAATCCTTATTTTTCAAGACAGATTGCTTTAAATTTTGGTAAATTTGGGTGGGGTAATACATGTCAGTTGTTAGCATGGGCAGTACTTCTCCAATGAGAACAAAGCACACAACAGGGCCGGCCAAATTGCTCTCACTGGCTGAGGAGCATCATTCCCGGAGAAGACAAGGAGGGAGGCACGAGGGTCTGGTGTGGGGTCCGGCGACAAAGGCCGCTTACCTCTGGGCTGGGGTGCTATAGCTATTATCGTAGGAGTCATAACTCTGATCATCATAAGCAGTACCATAGCCATCGTCATAGTCCTAAAATATAAAGGGAGAAGTACAAAACATTCAGACAAGTTTCTGGAAAGAAAGAAGCAAACTGGTTTCAGTCCATTTTCATTAATCAGCCAGCATTTAACTAATCTGTCTAACAGTATAAAGAAGACCATAGGGATTACTTCAGTGGAAGCGGGTGAGTAAAAAGCTGCACCTATCTTCTCTACAAAAGCAATGAGAAATTGGCAAAATGGTCAGAATCACTATTTCAAAAACTCCTGTAAACTAACCAAAGGACTAGAGAGATCTAGGAAGAATTTACTTTTTATATAATGGCTGAATCCTGTTCCTAAGAATAGTGAGTTTTGTGCCACTTTAACTTGTCCTGTTCCCATTCCTCACTCTCACCCCCAGCTCCGTAGGATCCTTGAAAACCAACAGCCACAGTCGTCAGCAGCTTACAGGCCCCCGGAGTGGGCAGAACAGGGATAAAGCTTTTTCTAGCCTCCATTCCGAGAAATGTCTCTGTTTGACCAGACTCGGAGGTTGCTTAGTACAAAAAGCCCTTTCCCGGGAACCAGCAGTTAGCGTAATGGCTATGTCGCTGGACTCCCACGTAGTCAACCGCGGTTCGTGTCCCGGACCCGGTGGCTTAAAACTCACGCCGGGCGCGTGTGCGTGCGTGCCCAAGATCCTGAGAGGAGAATGGAGGAGAAGGGATTGCAGCGTGACCATCCCCCCTGGGGGGTGATTTCTCGCTTTCTGTCT